TTTATAACTGAATCACAAAATTAATAACAAAGGAGGGAAAACATGGAAAAATAGCAGTAAAAATGACATATCATTTTCCCCATGATTTTTTTTTTACAAATATGAGTACATATAATTTTAAAAGTTTATAAATTTAGAAATAATTAAAATGAATAAAGAAATTTCTCTGCAGTGTTGATTTGAAGTGGTACAGGACAGATGCAAGGTGTTATCTACTATACATAATTAGCATAAAATTTATTGCCAGGGGAAGTGATTCCTGTTATTATAAAAGACTTTATTTGGCCAATGAGAGAGACTATAAATAAGATTGATTTAATTGCATTAGATCAAAATTAACATTGCCTTATGGAGCAAATTAATTCTTATGTTCATTTCTCTAACATGGACCATATTGATCCAGAATAATTAAAATCCAGGAAGAATTTAATAATAACGGATGGAGGGTTAGTGTTGGCAATGACTAATCAGGAAATATATATACTAATTACCTTTGTTGAGATAGGTGTATGTAGGCGTATATAGGTATATATATTGTATGTAGCACATTTGAAATATTCTAAAAAATTTTACAAAACTCTTAAGTTTTGAAAGAAATTGCATAAAGTCATGGAATTTGCTGTGATAACATACAGTGATTAATGCTAATCTGAATTATTTTAATCCCCCTTTAAAAGATGGATCTATCAAAGTTATTAATCACCATAGTGACATAATCAATACAACAATATTTGTTTGGTATCAGTTATTGGGAAACAACAGCAGAAAGAACAATTAATGAAATTCTGTTTGCTGTACTTTAACTGATTGGCTACAGCAGATCCTTTGCTTTCTTTAAAAACTTCAATTGTTCCAGCAGGGTTCTTGTGTTTTAACATTTCCCCTCCTTTTGATTGTAATCTAGAAATTGAGATATATTTCCTCATTCCATGTAGATCATAACAGAGATTAAAATCATGCTGCTAATTATTTGTATTCTACAAAGCAAATTCCTTCAGCTGAGTCCATGCTCTTAGGACTCTCTCAGTGCTGTGCCTGTCTGTCAAAGGACTGGATTGATGTCAATGACCTTCAGTAAACATTGCAAGAGTTACATACTGAAAGTTGACTGATGCAGATGCATGAAGTGTTGACAATATGTAAACAGTTTGAATAAGCTGTCCTTCTTTGTAGCGAGACTAGGCAAGCAGCCCTACATGCAAAACAATGGGAACAGAAAGATACCTTGAAATGAACTTGTTGCGAAGTGTTATGTTGCTTGCTCTGTCTAGCTCAGTGACAAGAGAACAAATCTACATATCTAAATGCACATTCAGAATGTTCTTTGCAGTCAGTTGTAGATGCAGGCAGAATTACTGTGTCTGGTTCCAGAAGCGTTGCACAAAACTGCCAACTAATTTCATTCGGTTTAATCAATTATTTGGAGATTTGAAATCTGCTGCAGGAAAAATTGCCTCCCAAGATAGCCCATGAGATTCTTCTTACACAGAAGTAATTATGCTGAAATTATATTTTAAAAGCTGGTTTCATGTATTATCTTTTTAGAATGCCAAATGCAGATTGGGAAGAAAGCATGTCTTTAAAAGCAATGAGAGGAAATTGCAAGGGAAAAGAATTGCTGCCGAGAGAACTTTATTATCTAGTAAGACACATGATAAGCCAGTGAATGAGGCTTTCCCTTATCTCTCTGCAGGCTCATAGGTATAATCAGGCCTGCAGATAGGAGGTGTCAAGATTATTCAGGACTTTGTAAATGTACATAGGCCTTTAAAGATCAAAATCAGCACCTTGGATTGTATTTGGAAACAACTGGCTAACCAATGCAGTAGGCAAGCAATAAGGGCAATATATCCAGCCACTATTTGTGTATTGTAGCTATCCTTTCATATCATACCAAAAAAAGTGAAGGAATGCATTGGGGAGGTAAATTCAATATTTTGAGTAAATATTTTGGTGATTCTGCTCAAAGCGGATTCGGTCACGTTGTTGAATCAGCTCAACTTTCAAATGAGAAAGTTGTATTGAATGGTTAAAGGGGATCTAAATCAATTGGACATTTGAGAGTCTGGTGAAA